TCCTGTCTCGCTCCAGGTCAGTGCGCCCCGGGGCCCGCCCAAGTGACACGTAGGTGGCCTCCGGTTACCTGGGTCGGGGTGGGTGCGCGGGAGGGCTTATGAGGGGCCCTCGAAATTCTCCCAAAACCTCGTCCTGCTGGACGTGCACCTCCGAGGGGTCCCTGCGCCACTGGGGCTCCCACACCTCTCGTTTCCCACTGACGACTCGGTTGTCCCCTCACACCGGGCTGAGGACTTTTAACTAAGTTTCTGTCCAGCCGCCTAACAAACGTGCTTAGCAAGTAACTGGAGGTTGTAAGGCAAGGGAGGGACCTGGCTTTGAGTTGATGGTTTTGAAATCGACGGCTCCTTTGGCTTGCGTAGGACTGCTTTGTGGTGAATGGATTTAAAGTTTATTCTTGTTTTTCTTTGCTGCCATTTGGCCTTTGAAATGTTACGAGTGAAGGCATTCAGGACTTGCTGCTGCCTGCTGTCTGGGGCCTGAGGTTGTGGCTCTCCGCTTCTGCTCCCCCCTCTTCATTTTTGTTGAAATCCGTGGATTTTTTCATAAAGTGGGTGCTGACTTGTTTCACTATGGACGCATCGTTTCCTATGGGGTTAGATAGATATTGGTAAACATCAATATTGAAAACGTAAATAATGATCACAGCGAAATCCTCTATTCCTTCAGGCTCTAACAGTTTGTTTTTCACGTATTTGCATAAGTGTGTTTGCTCAGCTAAGCATAACTGGTAAGCCAGAGGTCTGTGATTCAGAGTCTGCAGTTCTGGTTAAGGGAAGACTGTGCACTTGGAAAATGCGAAGTTTTTAAAGAAGTTATTCCCTTGCCAGATAGAAGAGTGAGTCCAAGGAAAAAGAGGGAATGTTAAAGGTATGGTTATTGAACCAAACTAAATAGCATTAAAATACACAGGGAGGTAGAATGTCACCTAGTTGTTTCTGCCCTTGATTTCCATATCCCAGTAGGAGCGAGTATAATTGCCCCAATGCAAAATTATGAATAATAATCAGCATTGTAAGTATATTAAGGTTGCATTTTTTTTCTTGATACTTGTCTAATTTGAGGATAAAAACACCAAGTGGCAAGAGAAGGAGGTAGCTTGAGGCAGGAAGGCACGGGCGACGAGCGAGGAGGGAAGGCTGGGTTGTCATCATCCGAGCCCGCAAGGCACACCACGTCCCCTAGCGGCGCGACCTCAGCCGGTCGGGTCAGCTCAGCTCCTGGTCTCCGTCTCCCCATCCGGAAAATGGAAGGGGTTGGTGATCCTTGCTGTTCCTTCCAGCTTCCCAAATAGCTAGAAACCGGTGGGAGGTTATTTTATGTTCGAGCAGTAGGAAAAGGTAGGGGGGAAGTGAGAGGTCCAGAGAGCCAGGAAGATGGAAGAAAACCAGCAACAGAGGATGCCTGGAGGAGACAAATCCTTGAGCTGGGAGCTCATTTCCCCTGTTTTTTTTTTTTTTTTTTTTTCCTCAAGGGAATCAATAATACTTCCCCCCTCAGATCAGTCTCTTGTTACCTTTTATTATTTAAAGCTTGTGAGTTTGCTTAGCTAATGAACTAAGGTGAGGTCAAGGTGATTCTTGCGGTCTGACTTCTAGGCATCACTTGACCCATTTGCATCATTGTCTCTCAGGGGAACAGCTCCTACTCAGGTCTGTGGGCACACAGCACTCTCCCTGTGAGTGATGGGAAAGAAATAACAGGTAAGAATGTAAGTGGCAGCCTTTTCGAAACTTCTATTTTTGTTCAAAGCTAATACTTTCCAGAAAGTAATTTGATTTTTTTGTTGTTGTTGTTTCAAATTATACCGTATAGACTCTGCAAGGTTTTACTGAATCTATTCCATTAGTGACCTACTGGAACATTCAAAGAATAAAAATTTCACTTGCTCAGTGTTTTTGATACACAGTGACATTCAGTCTGAAGTAAGTGATATTTAGGGCCAAGAATAATTTCAAATGCTTAGTATGGAAAGTTGCAATTTGGGCAGAATACACTGTATCATTTTCACTGGGAAACTCCAAGTATTCAGCAGATAACAGAACTTTTAGAATTTAGTTTGAGGGCAAGATTTTAATGTCTGTGCTTGATGTGTGGCCTGTCTTCCTCTTCTTTTATGTTTTGGTATCAATATTCCTACACCCTTGAGGAATGTTATTTATTTTAAAAGCCGAACTGTGATGTAATAAAAACTTAAACATAAGCTCTTGGTTTAAAGTCCAATAGTCTTCTCTGGCCTTAAGTCAGCATCATACTACTGTTTGGTTTCTTATTTTTACATGTCATGTTACCCTCTTATTTAAATATCCTTGGCCAGGTGTGGTGGCTCATGCCTGTAATCCCAACAGTTTGGGAGGCTGAGGCAGGAGGATCACTTGAAGCCAGGAGTTTGAGACCAGCCTGGGCAACATAGTGAGACTCTGTCTCTACAAAAAAATAAATACATTAGCTGGGTATGGTGGCATGTGCGTGTAGTCTCAGCTACTTGGGAGGCGGAGGAGGGAGGATGGCTTCAGCCCAGGATTCAAGGCTGCAGTGAGCTGTGATTGTGCCATTGCACTACAGCCTGGGTGACAGAGAGAGACTGTCTCTTAAAAAAAAAAAAAAAAACTTAGGGAAAACTATTATGGATGTCTTAGAAAGTTGAGAGAAAAGGAGGTGATTTTATTTCAGCAAACAGTTACTGAATTCTTTCCATGTGGTAGATGCAAGGATGGTGAAAAGGAAGATCCAGAAAGAACTGCAGCGCAGGGGGGAAAGACGCAGCGAGCCTCACGGTTTATATTGAATAGTATGTGCAATGTTGTGTAGCTGGGTGGTAGCTGTAGAGTCCAAGAACTTTGTCATGCCAGGGAATGGAGAATTACGTTTTGATTCAGGGGACGACTTTATAAATGTGGCTTGAAGAATAACATATCTTTTAAAAGACGAATGGTGGGGTAATGAAGACGAAGTGAGAGTGTGGGGTGATGAAGGCTGGAAAGTTACAAAGGGACAAATTGTGGGGGAGTTGTGCTACATGGGGATAGGGAGGCGAGGAGGAAGTATTACGTAACCTCAAGATGTGGAAAGACACTGAATAACACATATTGGGGCAGAGTGAGGGGTGCAGTAATGGACGGAGGACTGGGCTTTTATTCCACTACAATCCGTGTAACTTATGGCTGCTAGGTTTTAAGACACTATTGCCAGTTTACTCAAATTATATAAAGGTTGTAGAATAAACTAATAAGTGGTTTCTTCCTCCCCACTCCCCGCAAATTGATAGTGCTTTGTACTTTTGAGAAATTTAATTTAGTAAAAATTAGTGATGCTATTGTGTTACAGCTGGACCTTGTGGAGCCTTTTGAACATGTGGGATTGAAGTCATTCTGCAAGCACAGAGCTGTCCAAGAAAACATTTTTTTTTCCCCTCTCTCTTTTTTGTTTAGGGAAGGGCTTGCTGGTTAATGCTAATTTAAACATGACTCTTCTGGCAACTGGCATTCTTGACCCTGTTTATGTTATACATGGTATTTAACCACAGTGGTTGGGTATTTGCAGCACAGAAGAAAAAAAATTATTATTAGTTTGAAACTGGCATTAATGCCTCTGTAAATGATAGGGCAAGGCGGTAGAGGGAAGGAGAGAGAGGGGGAAACCAAGTAGCACCCTGGGTACTGCAGTGAGAGATGACATAACAATGAGAATTCTTTAAGTTTAACTTCCAGTAGAAGTAACTTGCTTTCTATATATTTTAAATCCCTAGAGCTAAAGCATTTAACTTATTATCTTCACTCTGTGGGATCCATTTGGAAGAGGTATTCAGGAGCTCTGTAGGTTCACATGTGCTCCCCAGTACCTCTGTGTCACAGGAGGATATACATCGGTTTTCAGTTGCATGTCAGAGGTGGAACTGACTTGGATGTCTCTGAATTGCTCTTAAATCTGGAGATGCTAGGGTACCCAGGAGACAGACAGGAAAAAGAAGAGGCTGGGCACAGTGACTAACGCCTGTAATCCCAGCACTTTGGAGGCTGAGGCGCGTGGACCTCACTTGAGATCAATAGTTTGAGACCAGCCTGGCCAATATGGTGAAACCTTGTGTCTACTAAAAATACAAAAAATTAGCCGGGTGTGGTGCTGG